TTGGCAGGTGTGGGGCGCATCATTAAACACTTGTGAAAAGAGCTGCCATTCGGTTTTGAATGGTGCTCGTCATTCTGCTGGAGATGCGTGCTGACGCTGTGTAACAGCCCCAAGTCCACCCGCTTCCTGGGGACCTCGGTGCCTGGAGATGCTGGGCCGCACGCAGGCTTGGGGGGCGCCAGGCAAGGACTCTGGTGTTGCCCAGCAGGAAGCATGGCAGAGGTGTAGAGAGCGGGCCAGAGTGGGCAGGGGCGGCCCGTCCCCCCGCAGGACCGTCCAGCCCTGGGGTTCCCTGTGATCGCGTCCTGAAGTCGCCACAAACCCGGGAGGGGGGAAGAGCGAGCCTGGATCCCGACCTCGGCCTCGGGCACCCTGCACCCTGCTTCTCCCCACGCAGGCTCAGGCTCAAGGCTGGGTCCCCCACGGGACTGGGGACCGCGATTTAAACATTGACACCACCAGCGAAGAGCAGAAAAATGCAAAAGCCCGGCACCCCGCAGACCCTGAAACAGACCCCAGCTTATAATCGGAGCGCCGAGACCGGAAGGCGGTGGGGAGGCTCCTCCCTCCCGACACGGTCGGCCCAGAGCCCAGGTCGCTCCGCGTCTGCAAGCTCGCGGCTCAGCCCCACAGTGCAGCCCTGGCTTCAGACCCCGAGCACCAGCACACGCGGGCGTCTGCGCCGCCTCTTTTCCCCCTTGCGGTGCTGGGGCTCGAACCCAGGGCCTCACACCCGCTAGGCAAGTGCTGTTCCGCCGAGCTGCCCGGCCCTGCTGAACGAGCAGCCGTGGCTGTGAGGGCGCTGGGCCCCCCCTTACGAGTTCACAGACGCCACCGTGTTGGCGCTGGGCCCTTCGCTCACCCATGGCCTGCGCGGCGTGGAGATTTACACTCAGGAAAGACCCGGCTGTTGCTCAAAAGGGGCCGCCGCTGCTGGGCCCCGCGGGGGTGGGCGTCACTGGCTGCGGGTCCAAGGAGCCGTTGCTGACCCGGGCAGCTGGGTCCCCCCAGCATGCTGCAGGTACTTCCTGGTCAGGCTGGCATTCTGAGGGCCGCAGTGGTCCCCGTAGGGTGGGCGGTGCGGTCTCCCCCGAGCGGCTGGGGAGGGCGGTGGGGCTGGGCCTGGGCCGCGGAGGCGCTTTCCCCGCTGCTGCGCCTCCTGGGGGTCAGGCCCTGCCCTGCGGTCTTCCATGCTTGGTGTCCTCCGGGCGGCCTTCCTGATCACCTGGGAAAGCCCTGCCCTTGCCCCGGGGAGGCCCTTTCTTCTGGACCGTGTTCTGGGCTCTTCCCCCTTTTTTAAAGTAGTACTGGGGGTTGAACCAGGGCCTTCTCACTGGGCTGCATCCCTAGGCCTAGTAAATTTTGAGACGGAGTCTTGCTGAATTGCCCACGCTGGGCTCGAACTGGCCTCAGTCCCCAGACTGAGATGACAGGCGTGCGCTACCCGGCGCCTCCCCACACCTCCTGTGGAGAGACTGCTGCATGGCCTGGGACGCACTGCGTCCCAATAGAGGCGATTTGGACAGAGCCGAAGGGGGCTGGTGGGAGCAGGGCTGCCAGAGCGGCATCTCCCCGTGCCCCGGCAGAGGAAGGGGCAGTGTTGGGGACATCTGGGCCCCCGTGCTGTGCCCCCCACGGGGTTCCCAGAGGAAGAAGTCAGCTGGGAAGGTTGTCCTTATTTCCCCTCCTCTTGGTTTTCCCTAAAAGTTGCTAAACGCAGTAACAACGAGACAGTGGACATCCCTAACGCCTGCTGCAGTCCGTTGGCTCCGATGGAATCTGCGCTTTCTCCAGCGTGCCCTACCAGGTTCCCTTTTTCTGAGATATTTCTGTCCCTCAGCTGAATGCTTCATTCTTTAGAATGTCACGTGTCTCAGAAACCTCTTTCTGGGTACACATTTGCAGCACCCGGTGAGCCCCTCCTGGGGGTGTTGGTGAGTGCGCACAGCACGGCTGCATTCTTTTGGGGTTCCCTTCCTTCTCCTCCCTTCGTGGCTTGTTCCCTCCCCTTTGCATAGGATCTGGTTTCCTGTTTCCTGTTATCTAGCTTCTACTTTGCTTTTTATTTATTTTTTTAATGGGGTCTCATGCTACAGTGCCGGCTGGCCTTGAACTCACTATGGAGCCCAGGCTGCCTTTCAACTCACAGGGCTCTTCCTGCCTCAGTCTCCTGCGTGCTGGGATTATAGGTGTGTGCCACCACGCCCAGCTCTTTCACTCTTTAAATTTATTTATACTTTGGGTTTCTCATGCATGTTATGGCCAGTAACTGGGCCAAGATGGGTTCCGGAAGGGCGGGAAGACAGAGGTACCTTTCTCCCAGTCAGCCCTGGGAGCTCAGACGGGACCATTTAGTGAAAAATCTACACCTCTCTGGCTGTTAGCAGATGATATGTATGGACAAGGATGTGCCCACCGGCAGGGGTGGCCTCGAGCTTTGTTTATTCCGAATTGTCTTAATGAGCGGTGCCTTCCCCACCCCGCACTGGGACGCGTTCTCGCAGCACCTGCCTCGTGCTTGGTGACCCTCAGTGTGACTCGGGCTCCTGGTGCATCGGGTGCTCAGCACACATCTGGGGCTGCCCGTGACAGCCATGTGTGTGTGTGTGTGTGTGTGTGTGTGTGTGTGCGTGCGCCCTGAGCAGCCCGGTCAGGCCCTCCAGGCTCCGTGTCCTCTCTGCTGGATGGAATAATGACAAGACTCTGCCGCTGGCCCCTGGGGTGCTCATGTAGGACGCAGTCTGGCACATGCGGATCCGTGGCTATATTTACTGTTCAATTAAAATGGCCAAACTCTGACTCTTTAAGATTTGATCATGGTCTGGGAGGCTGAGGCAGGAGGGTCAAAAGCTCAAGGCCGGGGCAACTTAGTGGGAACTCTGTCAAAGTAAGATGATGATGATGATGATGGTGATGATAGGGCTAGGGATGTAGTTCAGGGCAAAGGCTCTGGGTTTAACTCCCGATACTGCAAGGAAAAAAAAAAAGGACCATGGACCCCTGTTTCCCTGGAAAGGTCAGGGGTGAGCCCTATGCTTGTCCCCGAGGCCCTGAGGTCGGCTGACTCAGCGGGCATGACACTGTGAAGATGCCCTTGCCCAGCCCCCCGTCCCCATGGCCATCCCCAGAAGCTGGGCTGACCAGAGGTCCCCTCCCCGAGGCAGGGGCACACCAGCTCCCGGTCCCACGGGTGCGCTGGCCTAGCTCCTGACCGCAGAGACCTCCGCTGTCAAACCCACTGAGGAGGGGAGCCATTAAACCGAGTTTTGGGGATGGGGTAGGCTCGGTGTCATGCAGCTGCCACCAGACTCCTGGTCCCAACTCTGCTGACCCTGGGTGTGGGTCGTGGGGGTGGAAGTGGCCGGAAGGGTGGGTCACCAAGTGCTGCTGTGCCAAGGTCCTGCCTAGAGCCCCTCCCTCGGACACCTGCTCACAGCTGCAGAGCCCTGGGGGGGGCACCTGTGGAGCAGCAGCTGGAGGCGTCGGCTGCTATGAGGTGCTTCCTGTGGGAGCCAGGGACGGGTAGCCCAGGCGTGCACTGCACAAAGCTCCCGTTGTCTAACGATGTCACATTCCTCATGTGTGTGGCAACGCTGGTATAGACAAAGTCATTGTGCTGTGGTTGCCTGCAAGTACCGCGGTGCCCTGACGTGTGGGACGGAATGCGTGATGATGATAACGTGCAGCCGTGCCGCTGGTGTTTATTGTACTGTATTTTTAACCAGTGTGCATTTAACCTGGGTGTGTGGCTCGGCACTGGAACGTGGGCTTAGCATGCTCAGGGCTGTGGCATCGAAACCAAGAGGACCAGCTGGGCGAGGCGGCGCCCGCCTGTAATCCCAGCAATCGGGAGGCTGAGGCAGGAGAATTGCTGTGAGTTCGAGGCCAGCCTGAGCTACATAGTGACACCCTATCTCAAAACACAAACAAGAAAGCAAGTGGACCAGAAACGGTGTCCCTGGCGCCCGCCTGTCTGTCACCTTTGCTGTGGCTCGGTGGCGTCAGGAGCCACACGGAGCGGCCGTGGCACATTTCTCAGGGCCTGTCTGTAGTTCGGGGACACGGGTCTGCTATTGCGATTGTAGTTTTTGTTTTTGTGTTTTGGGGGGTGGAGGTTTGAGACAGGGTCTCGCTGTGTATCCCAAGCTGACCTTGAACTTGTGATGATCCTCCTGCCTCAGCCGCCCGAGTGTTGGGACCACCGGCATGCGCCACCACGCCCAGCTTCTGCCCCTGTGAAGGTAGTAAGAGCCACTAGCGGTTCCCGGTCACCTGCAGCCCGTGAGGTTGGTCATGGTCACCGGCCCCCTCTGAGCATGGATCCTGCCCGGCTGGTGGGCACTGGGCCCGCTGAGGCCAGGCCAGCGTCCAGAGCTGAGGACAGGGGCCACACTTCAGGCAGAGGCTGGGGGGCTCCACCTCCGTGCCCTCGCCCCTTCCAGAACCTTCTCTCCACGCATGGGCGCCGGAGCGCAGCCTGCAGCCTGCACAGCTGGGGCGGCCCCGCCGGAGCCGGCGTTCTGTTTCTGGTATTTGATTTCTGTTGTCGTGGAAACAGGGTGACAAGTGTTGGGTGCGTTGGCGTTCAGTCTTCCGAGTAGCTGACAGCCGGGAGGTGCAGCTGTGCTGGTGCGTGCCTGTGGGACTGTCACCTCCCTGGGGGTAGGTGGAGGCCCCGCCGCCTCCCCGTGCCCTGCCTGGGTCACTGCCCGGACCCGGGCCCAGCAGCAGCCCAGGTGCAGCAGGTCGCCCCGGGGCACACGCCCTGCCTTCCTGCCCCTTGCCTGGGGGTCATTTCCTGGGGAGCAGCTCGCCAGCCCCATGAGGCTCTGGGCTGGGGAGAGAAGTGACAGCTTGTGGTCAGCCGCGTGCTATCGTGCGTGGCAGCCGCGTCCTGCGGCCTGGGGCTCGGGGCCGTCCCCAGAGGCCCCCTTAAAGGGGAGCTGCAAGTCACGGTGGTGTCCCCGCTGGCCACATACGACGCCCTCGGGTCCCTGCTGCCCGGCCAGTGCCTGGTGGCCTCGCTCAGCCCAGAGCCCCTTGGAGCGTCCCCGCTGGCTGCATCTCCTCACCAGTGAGTCCTCGTGTTCTCTTGCTTCTCGTGGGCTGTGGAGTTAAACCCGAGCCTCGGGCTGTCTCTGCTTTCGGGGAGTTTCTTTTGTAAGAACAGACTTGGGCTGGCCTTGTCCCAGGACAGGGATGGGGACATCAGTGTCAGGACAGTGGGGAAGGAGGACCCTTGGCCAGCTGGCTCCAGTCCAGGGGTCATGGTCTGACTTGAGGAACAAAGTTTCCATCACTTGGGCACGTGGACCTGTGGGTCCAGGAGAGGGGGGCTTGGGTCCCAGAGCTGGGGTCAGCAGGGGTCCTTGAGCCCAGGTTCACCCCTGGCAGGGTTTTCAGAGAGGCCTTGGGGCGCACGCAGGGCGAGTGGGAGGGAGATGCCGACTCCCCCAGAGAATCTCAAGTCTGTCAGTGCAGCCAACGCTCTGAGAAGTCCTGCAGGCGGGCACCTGTGTGGCTTGTGAGACCCAGCTGTCCTCCTCCGCTTCCCTGACCCTCACCTGGCTTTGTGAGGCCCACGCTGTCCCTGCCCGAGGACTCCCCTGGGGACAGGGAGCAAGAATCAGGAGGCATGCGCGGCCTTCCTCGGGGTCTGGGCCTGTTTCTGTCCCTGAAGGAGCAGCTGGGGATGAGTGGGCTGTGGGAAGGGGCCCCTCGCACACAGCCCGAGGTCCCTGGTGGACTGGCCTGGCCCTGTCCACAGCCTGCACTCCCCGGGTGGCTGGAAGCCCAGGTGTCCCCTCCTCCAGGCTTGGATGAGGACTCAGAGGCCACGACAGGCCCCAGTTCCTGGAGGTGAAAGTTTGCACTGAAAACAATTCATTCCAGTCAAAGCCGCACACCGTGAAGCCCCTCAGACGCCCCTCGCGTCCAGCACGCTCGTCCCATCGCCCTGGCCGCCTCCGGAAGCGGCTCTGGTGCCCTCTCCTTAGCTCTGCCTCCATTCCTGAATCGATTGAGAACGTTTCCCTTTCATGGTCATTTTGACTTTGGGGAGGAGCCCGACGTCGCTGGGTGCCCGAGTAGGTGAAGACACTCCCGCTGGGTGACGCTCGGGGTGGCAGTCACCGTATTTGTGAGCCCATCTCATAAAGATTCTCATGAAGGAGGACGCAGCGGGTCTGTCTCTGTAGTGCGTTTCTCAGTGTGAACACGCACTGCGCCTTCCTCAGCCGGCGTGTATGGCTGCTGACCCTGGTGCTCAGCTGGGACTCCTCGGGCGATTTCCGTGCTGTCCCTGTGCTGTCCGTTTCCTCCCTGCAGAGCGGTGACGGGAGGAAGCGCTGGAGGAGTCCCAAGTGCGCGACGTCCCCAAGGCTGTGGTTTTGTGTGAGGGACCGTGTGCTTGGACAGGCTGGTCCAGGTGTGAATGTCGCCATTGAGCTGCCTTTTCCCAGGCTGTGGCTGTGCCCCAGCCCCCTCAGACAGCCCATCGCAGGCCTTGCTTCTGTGGTCACTCCAAGGCCCTCCTGCTGGGGATGTGGAGATGGACCTGGCACCTTCTGTCTCCTTCCTGCAGGACAGACTTCTTCAAAACTCAGCTGGGGGACACCTCCTCCAGGAAGCCTGCCAGGACATCACTTACCTCCCTAGACACCGCCCCCCACACCCCATTCACTATTTGCCCACCCGATGCTGCTGTGCAAGCCTCCTTGGGCATGCCCAGTGCCTGGGGTGACCCTCGTGGATGTCCACTCCGTGCACGCGGTGAGCGAACATGGCCTGTACCGTGGGCTGCAGGTTTCCCTGATTACTCCAGGAAGTCTGTGCAGAAAGGCCCACATCGTTTATTAAAAGTGAACAGACAAAGCCGGGCGTGGTGGTGCACGCCTGTAATCTCAGCACTGGGGAGGCTGAGGCAGGAGGATCGTTGCGAGTTCGAGGCCAGCCTGGCTACAAAATAAGCTCAAGGCCAGCCTGAACTGCATAGAGAGACCCTGTCTCAAAAAATAGAAAAGAAAAAAAGACAAAGGTGAACAGTTCCACCTTCCTTCTTCCTGACCCTGACTCTTGGGCTTCTCAGCGCTGACCACGGGCAGCACCTGACCGGGCTGAGCGGTGTCCCCATGGATGTCCGCAGACATAGACCTTTGGATGAAGCCGGGCAGGACAAGCCTTGAATGTTCGGGGTTCACTTGAGCAAAACAGTCATCGCTTAAGGAGTGGGGGACAGCCCGGGGGAATGTCCCTGGAATGGGGGTGGCAGGGGCCACAGCCAATGGGCCTGGGACAGGCTCAGGGCTGCCTGGCTCCTTGCTGCCCAGTGTCTACACAGAGTAGGTCTGCAGCTGGGCACTGTTGACATTTTACATGTGCTCTGCTTAACCCTGGAACTGGAAGGAGGAGCGGTTGTGCTCTTATTTTACTCAGTGATTCCGTAGACATCGGTTGAGGGCCCACTGGGTACTGGGCTGGTCCGCAAGGACCTACTGTGTGCAGACAAGGGTAGTGTCTGCATTTGGACAGCTCCTGTCCAAGGTGGAGGCTGTGTGTTGGTACAATAAACAAAGACTGAGGTAGCCGGGGTGAGGTAGCTGCCTTGATTGGCAAGTTTGGGCTGGGGATCCCCGCGGGGCCCTGGAAGCAGGAGGGCCTGGCCAGCGCCCTCAGGGGGGAAGCCTCCAGCTGGCTGGGGGGGTTTCCTGCACGCTGGCCCAGGTGAGAGTGCCGTAGGAGATGGCCTTGCGGTGCTGGCCCTGGCTGTGGCTGGGTCACCTCTGGGCAGCAGCTATCTGAGCAGGATGTTGGCGGCACGCTTTGCTGGCCTGGCCACCTCTGCCTGGCCTGGCCGTCCCCAGGGTCCAGAGCATGACCCTTGCCAGGACCAGCAGTTTCCCAACCTGTCACTTGCTTCCTGCAGGAGGGCGGAAGCTGGTTGCCTGGGCAACTGAGGAGGGGCGGGGCCCTGTGGGAGGAAGCAGAAGGAGGGTGGGGAGTACTGGCCTGGCCCACTGTCCCCGCCCTGCCAACTGCCCTTGGACTCTGGCCAGGCCGGTGTGGGCGTGCGGGTCGTGAGTCCAGGCTGTGCTCCGGGCGCACGGCGTGATCCTGAAGGTGGGGTGTACCTGTGACTCACTCGCCTCCAAGCCCCTGCCCACCCCCTGTCCACAAGAGGCGGGAGAGCAAAGGACCGAAGCGCCCTGGCGGCTCTGTGCTGAGGAGACCCGCCCTCGGGTCCCAGGCTGCACCTCTGTCCTGCAGGCCCTGGAGGGGGCCCACTACCTTGGGCTCATAGGCTGACGGAGCCACACTGTGCACTTAGTTAGCACCTGTGGTTTGCAGCGCACAGGGCAGCTGGGATGTCCGCACGGTGACCCGCAAGGTGGGCCAGTGTGGGCACTGCTTCAGGACCCCTGAGCTGGAAGGAGGCTCGCCAAGAGCAGAGGGGTGACCAGGGGGCCCTGGGAACATGGGTGCCTGCTGCCTGCCTGGACCAGGAGCACACACGTCCGCCTGCGCATGCAATGCGCGCACTCGTGCACATGCGCAGTGACCCCGAAGCTCCTCTCCTCTGCTCTTCGCGTTTGTCCATCCCAAGGGTCCTTAGAGCAGTTTTCGGCGCACAGCAAAGCTGAGTGGCAGCTGCAGCCCTGCCCTGCGCCCAGCCTCCTCCGCAGTGAGCACCCCGCCCCACCCAGCGGTGCATCGAGGAAGGACCGTTGTCCCTAGAGTCTGCAGCTTCCATCCGGGTCCCTCTCGGGGCGGTGCATGCTGCAGGTGCGGACAAAGACGGCATGGCTCCCCCGCGCTCCCCCAGAGCAGCTCCACTGCCCCGAAGCTCTCGCGCTCCCTCTGCCCGTCTGTCCTTCCTCTCAGCCCTTGGCAACCGCGGATCCTTCTCATCTCCAGCGTGGCCTTTTCCAGGGTGTCACAGAGGTGGCACCACTCCAGACGGAGGTAGCCTTTTGAAGCTGGATTCTTGCACCTGGTAACGAGCTCCTGAGCTTCCTCCGTGTCCCCTCGTGGCCTGAGAGCTCATGTCCTTGCAGCACCACACAATCTTCACGTCAGACGGCCCTGGGCTCCCCGCCCCTGCTGCAGCCCCGCTTCTGTGGTGGCGCAGCCGGGAGGCGCCTCCTTCACGACTGTGCATTTCCTGGAGCGGCCTTTACCTCTGGACAGAGGAGCGTCCTGGGCCCCCCCACGGCCTACTGCCTCTTAGGTCACGGCCCCTCTGTCTTTTGCACAGAGGTGGCTTTTCTAACACCTGCCCTTCGGGGTACATTCAAACTTCAGCATCTCCCCGCCTTGTGAGGGGTGAGTCCCTGCTTCCAGGGCCCTGGCAGGCCGCTAAAGGCAAAGGCGGTGGCAGGAAGATCGGGGTCACCTCTGTGCCAGGTACCCTTGGGGACACAGAGGACTCAGAGCCTCAGGAGGAGGCGAGGCTTGTGGGACGCAGCTGTGGCTGAAAAGGTCAAGCAATTAGTGCTTCCCGGCTGCTCCCCCAGCCGCCCCTGAATAGCCAGGCCCAGGAGGAGAGCTGGCGGTGGGCCAGTCCCTGTTCAGCCCTGCAGCCCGAGGTGGCTGTGTTGTCATCCTAAGAAGCCACCGGAGGAGCGGTGGCTTCAGACCCTGCTGCAGGGGAGGCTGTCTGCTTGCTTTGTGTGCTAGCGGATTTGCTATTTCGAAGCCGGCCTCCTTGGGTCTCGGGGTGACAGGAGAGTGACCTGTGGCTGCCTCAGGGGCGGCGTGCTGTCACCCTCCCTGCTTGTTTAATGCTCATCTGTCTCAGTCCCCGCTGAGGTGCCCGCTGCAGAGCAGGTGCTCAGCAAACCCGTGTGGCCCAGCAATGCCCCTGGCCCTTGGAAATGTGCGGGCCGGCCGGGCGCCCTTGTTAGGTTCCCAGGGCTGCTGGAACAAAACACCAGAAACTTCTCAGATGAAAACAATGCACGTTTGTTGTCTTACAGTTCTGAAGTCAGAGTCCTAAGTCAAGGCTGGCCCCTTGGGTGGGGGGCTCGGTAGAGCTCGTTACCCTGCCCTTTCGGGCGTCCAGAGGCAGCCACGTTC